GATAATTTTAAATAATCGCTTAATTTTTTTTAATAGTGTACATATATATACATACATATATATACATATATATATATATATCAATAATAATGTTAATCAATATTCAATAAAGGAGAAATTATATAAACATAAGTATATATATAAAATATTATATATACATTATCTTGACATCTACAATTTGTGAATGTATAGCAGGACTCGCATCACATCAATTTTCACGCGACTTTTTTTTATCAACAGTGATAAATAATGTGATACGTAGTTCATATTATTTTATGAAAATAATATTGGTGCCGCCAGTGTACAAGCATTTTCGAGCGTTACATGAAAATGCCTGAACGATCGCTCTCAGATTTCTCTTTAGTTCTGATGTAGGCTGTAGAGTCTCTGATCTCTAAGGTTAGGAACGTCATACCCTGTGTATCATACATAGGTATTTTACGTATAATATTAAAGTATAATACTACACTTCACTTTCATATGTCCTATAACCTCATTTTTTAATCCGATGATCTTATTTAGATGTTTTTGACAAAACAAATTTACATTTTACTGCGATATCAACATTTGAAATACGACAATATGTTATTATGAAAATTTATTAGAAAATTGGTGTAATCAGATTAGATGTATTTTCAAATTAAATTCACGCGATAAGATTAAAAAATTACAACGATATTACTAATATTGTATATCAAATTCATGTATATATTGCACTTACATTTTCAATATTATTTCCTTTTCGTTTTTTATTTGCGAACTATATTTTTAATAAAACTGGAAAATTTTTGAAGTTATTCCCAATCAGCAATATATTTCAAAACTTCAAAACCTAAAAATTTTATTTTTTAGTCAAGATTTTTTAGTTAATAAATTAGAGGTTAGGATTATGTTAAAGACATCATAGTTTGATACATATTCTATGTATGATACGCATTCATACGTATCATACCAAACTTCCAGAATGTGTATCAAACCCAACCTTGCTAGTCTCTAGTTATTGAATTCGCATGGACTGTGGAACTATAGTGAGGGACGTAGATCGAAATAAATGGCTGCTGCCACGGCGTCACCGTCAGTCACCGTACGTAAAGGCGGAATTATGGCTCGTCAGGTTTAGGCAGATTTAGATAAGATTAATTGAGTATTATCAAAATCGTGCGAGCGTTTCGACCGCGTAACATCGGTGCAAGAACGAGGAGGAGAGATGTCCGGCTTTGACGAGAATCCCTTCGGGGAGCCTACGATTAACGATCCTTTCTCGGTGAGTTTAGCATTTATCTCATGTGTGTGACAGTGACGAAAATGAAACACGCAGAACTGTTCTCCAATATTGCTCGCATATCTGTCAAAATGTTCCGAGGCGTAAATCGGGTTTTAGTCTCGTTGATATTCGCTTTTGCGAAAAGTCAATAAGATTCATCAAACGATTTTTAACTTAAATGTTCTGCTAAAGATTATTGTTATGTGTCATTCTAATGTCGGCATAATTTGCCCGCGTAACTTTTCCTTATTCTTATCGAGAACAAGAAGAGAGAGGTCGATATTTATAAAATCTAATTTTGTACTTAGGTGTATGTTTTATTTGTGTACGCTTTATGTATTTAATAATATTATATCTTATTTACATAATTTTATGTTATTGTGGTAAAATATATTATTTTAATATTATTTCT